GCACTGCGATCCCCCCGCCGGTTTTCTCATCGGTGCCACTCTCCTCGCGGCTCGTCTAGACTGCCCTCCCCGTTTCTGGCTGCTGCATCTCCCCATCGCAGGCACCAGCACAGATATCTCTCTGCCTCTTCTGCCTCGTCCAAGGCATCACACCTCTGCTCCTGCTCGTCCTGCTCCCCGTACCATTATCGGTACGGCAGTCGCTCCAGCTTCCATGATGACCATTCGCCGCGCCATAGCGCTTACCATCGCGACGACCGCGACTTTCGACATTCCTCGAGGTCTTCCATTCCGGTTTCATCTCCTCCGGAGGACGCAGTGAACCCCGACGACAGCTCTCCTCCAGACGACCTCCGTCAATTCCAAGAATTATTTAAGCAGGTAGCTATTACACAGGAGATCCCGCTACAAGAGCTCAAAGATAAGCAGCATAAGCTTTTTAGGAATCTCCGACCGCGACATAGTTCACGCCTCGCCATCCCTCTCGATGAAGGCATCCTGGAACTGGCTGACGAGGTGTGGCATGCTCCAGCGTCGGCCCTTCCCACCAACAAAAGAGCTGACAAGAAATATTTCGTGCCACCAAAGGGCATGGAATTCCTCTTTGCTCATCCACAGGCTAACTCTTTAGTAGTCGACGCAGCTCAACAGAGATCTGGAGCCCCTCACCTCAAATACCAGGGCTCTGATAAAGACGTAAGGAGGCTCGAAGTTCTGGGCAGGAAGGTATACACCTCAGAGACTCTACTCCTCAGAATCGCCAATTACTCGGCGCATCTCTCTAATCATACCTTCGATACATTTTCACGCCTCACTCCTCTCATGGATCATCTCTCTGACTCAAAAAGATCGATCCTGAGATTAGTCATCGAAGAGGGCTACACATCAGCGAGAACATCCCTCCAGATGGCTATGGACGTGGCCGATACTGCTGCTCGTTCTGCCGCTACGGCTATTGTTATGCATAGAGCCTCTTTCCTCCAAGCGGCAGGAGTTCCAAAGGAACTACAGACAAAAGTCGAGGACTTACCCTTCGACAAGGTCAAGGTCTTTGCAGAGGCCACGGATGCAATCCTGCACTCCTCTAAAGACTCTCGGACAACACTGCGAACTTTGGGATGTATACGCCCACCTTTAAGAGACGGCGATACTCACCCTATCAGCGCAGATATGATTACCCCTACATTGGACACCAGTGGCGACAACAGCACCAACAACAGAGGCCTTTTGACAATCAGCGTTCTTGCCAGAGGCCTCAACGACGCCGAAACCTGACTGGCAGACACATGCCTTTCCAACAGCAAGCAACAGATTTGATGTGTTGGTCGAGGGCGAGCAAACAGCTACAGGCAGCACTGTGAATCGTTCAACCCAGCTATTCCACTACCGTCTAAGACCCTTTCTACATCAATGGGCAAAATCACCACAAACAAATGGGTCCTCGAGATCGTTCAGTTCGGCTATCCTGTCCCTCGCATAGCCGTCCCACCAACCACTCCCCCCCTCCCCACCCCGTCCCTCTTCAGGTAACCCTCTCACGAAACCCTCCTCAGATTAGAGGTCGATTGCCTTCTCTCTCTGGGTGCCATACAGCCAGTTCCGAAGGACTTCAGGAACAGGGGCTTTTACTCTCACTATTTTCTCACCCAGAAAAGGTCCGGAGGCTGGCGCCCTATCCTAGACCTCCGTCGTCTGAACAAATATCTCAGGAAACAACGATTCAAAATGACAACACTAGCTGCCATAATCCCTATTTTAAATCCCCAGGACTGGTTTGCGGCCCTCGACCTCCAGGACGCCTATTTCCACGTCCCTATTCACCCTGCTCACAGAAGGTTCTTGCGCTTCGTCGTGGCGGAGGACCATTTTCAATACAAGGTCCTCCCCTTCGGGCTATCCTCAGCCCCCAAGGTGTTCTCAAAGGTCCTATCCGTGGTCACGGCCTTTCTCCGACGGCAAGGGGTGCTCATCTTCACTTATCTGGATGACTGCCAAAGGCGCTTCAGCACACGAGATCTCCCATATGGTTCACCTCACGAGGCAAGTCTTTTGATCGCTCGGACTCCTCCTCAACGAGCAGAAGTCCATCTTGCATCCCACTCAGGACATCGAGTTCATTGGGGCCCGTCTGGACTCACTCGCCGGCAGAGCGTTCCTACCTTTGCAGAGGTTTCAAGCCATCCAAGACCTCATTTGCACCATCACCATGAGCCCCACCGTCCCACTCATCACATGTCTCAGACTCATGGGCCACATGGCTGCCACAACGTATGTGGTGAAATACGCCAGACTACGCCTGCGTGCCCTTTAGCACTGGCTGACCCTCGTATACCACCACACCTGATACGATCTCCACAGGCCCGTTATATCGCCATCTGGCGTTCTTCAATCACTCCGATGGTGGACCAGCCACACAAACCTGCTTTCGGGCGTACCATTTCACCCGCAGCAGCCTCTCCACCAAATCACAGCAGACGCCTCCCTACTAGGCTGGGGGGGCCCACATGGGCTCCCTCTCGGTACAAGGCCAATGGTCTCCACAAGATGCAAGGTTACACATAAACCTCCTAGAGCTTTGTGCTATTTTCAACGCATGCAAATCCTTCCTCGTCTACATGCACAATACCATTGTGGCGATACTTACAGACAACATCGTAGCCATGTACTACGTAAATCGCAAGGGCGGTGCTCGCTCCCGTTCGCTATGCACGGAAGCTATCCGCTTTTGGAACTGGTGCATTCGCTACGGGGGGAATCCTTTGGCATCCTACTTACCTGGCATCACAGACGTGATGGAAGACTTCCTGAGCAGACACTTCCACTCGAAACACGAATGGGAAATGCACGACGGCATATTACGCGACATCTTCCAACGTTGGGGGACTCCCCGAGTGGACCTCTTTGCAACTCCCGCCAACACAAAATGCCGCAAGTTCTGCACCAGAGCGGGCCTAGGCTGCGCATCTCTAGGGGACGCCTTCCTCGTGACTTGGCGCGGACCCCTCCTTTATGCATTTCCCCCCATACCTCTCATTCCCAAGGTCCTTCAGAAGCTGAAGGCGGACAGGGCTACGCTAATCCTCATAGCGTAGCCTACGCTAATCCTCGCCAGCACTGGTTTCTATTCCGGCACCGCCTCTCTGTGCGGACACCGATCCGCCTTTCGCCTCTCTACGACCTCCTCACACAAGACCGAGGACGCCTGAAACATACCCAGATACAAATGCTGAACCTAACAGCATGGTTCCTAACTGGCTGAACCCATGTGAATCTCTCTGCTCTGCCGCAGTCCAGCACGTCCTAGTACAAAGTAGACGACAAACCATGAGGAAAACTTACCTTCACAAGTGGCGCAGATACTCCTCCTGGTGTAGCTCGAATCACCACGATCCGACACGTCCGTCCATTTCCTCCGTACTGGACTATGCACTGCACCTAAAAAACAAGGGTCTTGCGTTAGCCTCCATCAGGGTGCACCTCGCAGCAATATCAGCATTCACACCACCTATAGATGGCGTTTCTATCTTCGCCCATCCTATGACTAAAAGATTTCTCAAGGGCCTTACCAACATGGACCCACCACGCAACCCAGTCCCTCCTGTGTGGAGCCTGGACGTGGTACTCGACGCCCTAATGAGGCCACCGTTCGAGCCTTTGGCAACCGTATCCTTACAATTCCTTACTCTGAAAACGGTTTTCCTGCTCGCAATAACCTCTGCACGCAGGGTTAGCGAGCTTTCCGCTATGATGGCCATCCCACCATATACGATCTTCCGTAGCGATGGAGTAGTCTTGAGATTACACCCGAGGTTCCTACCCAAGATTGTCTCCAATTTTCCACATTAATAAACCAGTCATCTTGCCAACTTTTTTCCCGAAGCTCCATGCCTCGCCACGAGACGCGGCCCTACATTCCTTGGACATCCGCAGGGCCTTAGCATTCTACATAGATCGCACTAAATCGTTGAGGCTTACAGACCATTTATTCATCTCCCTGGCACACAAGTCTAAGGGTCAACGTCTATCTTCCCAAAGAATTTCCAATCTCGTGACTGCATGCATAGTGCAATCATACGCAACGAGAGGGTTACCCCTTCTGTCCCAACCACACACTCATTCCACTAGAGCCATGGCCACATCTACAGCGTTCCACAGAGGCGTATCTCTGAAGGACATTTGCAGAACGGCGACTTGGTCCTCTCATGGGACCTTCGCTAAGCATTATTCTATCTCTCTCTCTCACTCAGATGGGGCAGTGGCGACTGCGGTGCTCTCCACGGCGGATAAATAGGGTCTCTGTGCCCTCCTTCCGTTTTTGGCGACTGCTGCTACGCAGTCACCCATAGTACCCATAGTGGAGCACCCGCGGGGACATCCCTGAAGAAGAAAGCGAAGTTACTCACCTCCAGTGCAGTAACTGTCATTCTTCGAGGTGGTGTCCCTGCGGGTGCTCAACTACTCAGAATGGAGATTTTTCTGGAAGCAGTAGTTGGCCGGACTGCGCATGCGCCGCGGTGGCTCACGGCGTTTGCGCTCTTTTCTCTGACGCGCAGTCCAGCCTCCCGCCAGTTCCTCGAGGCCGTCTCAGAGTCCATAAGACACAAGCAGAAAAGTGGACTCCGAAGTGGGGAGGAGGGCGGGTAGTGGAGCACCTGCGGGGACACCACCTCGAAGAATGACAGTTACTGCACCGGAGGTGAGTAACTTCGCTTTCCCACTATGTTGCAAAGTACTTGGCCAGTTGCACAATGTTCAGTAGAAAAATGCCTTCTTATATCTCAGCAGGTTATCAGTTTAAGGCTCAAAGACATGATTTTCCTTGTATTATTTTAGTAACTGAACATGTTAATACTGGTAAAATTACTTCTTCATTAACAAAATTTTTGTGTCAGTATTTATCTCGGTGATCTCACCATCTTGTCAATAAGTAGAACAGGTTGATTACATGCTATGTGAAGAAGAATAAATTGTATGCAGTTTTCTGTTTTGTAAATATACTACTGTTCGTATCATGGCACAAAGTCCAAAAAATAGCCCTATTTATGTTTTCTTATTTTGTGTATTTGACAGATCATGAGGAGTCTTTTCATTCTTCTCTAGTAAAAGTTTAATAATCCCGTCTTGTTCAATCTCTTCACATACATAAATCCCTTTGCACCATGAAACTGATAATAATTTTACTTACACTTCTGTGCACCTTTTTAAGCTCAGTGATATCTATATATAGAGCTGAAGGAAGCAAATTTAACATAATACTCCACACATTATAGTTCTTTTATAAAGTAATACACCAATACTGTCTTTAATATTTTTAAATCCTTTTTGAAATACATTTAAGCATTGTATTTGCAGGCAACCTCATCTCCCAGGCAGTCTTCTCCCCTCCCATGGGCTGTTCCCAGCCGCTGCTCACCAGCGAAACCATTGCTTGTCTCCAGATGGCTGTGTGGCTGCCCCCGGCTCCTTCTCTGCTTGTGCTGCACACCACCTGGAGCCCACAACTCCCGTCTGCTCCCTTCATCAGCCTCCCTGCCCTGCTCCTATTCCCACAGCTCTGGATCTGCCTCCCCTCCCCGCATAGCTCCAGCCCCTGCAGCATCACTGCCATTGAGTGCAGCATCCTCCCCATGGAGTTGGTGTTCAGGTGTTAGGGCACCACGCTATGTAAGAATGACTCTTCAGACATAACTTTGCCTTCTGTCCTGTGAATGGGTACATCTACACTAGTCCCCTAGTTTGAACTAGGGAGGCTAATGTAGGCATTTGAACTTGCAAATGAAGCCCGGGATTTAAATATCCCGGGCTTCATTTGCATGTTCCTGGGCGGGCACCATTTTAAAATCCCCTTAGTTTGAACTGACTGCCCGCGGCTACACGCAGCAGTCAGAAGTTAATCCGAACATGAAGAAACACCTGCCATGGCTTTCCTTGCCCTGTAAACTATTACATTCATCAACTCACAGCCAACTCATGGAATGTAAAATCTTTGTCAACATATTACAAACTGAAATCACACATTTCCACTCTGTCATATGCCATCTAATGCATATCACATTTCTTGGCATGTGACACATAGTTTGTTTTATAAGTTACAGTAAGTTTGTGTTTGGAAGCACTGTAACCATCTGAAAATATCTGATATTCAGTGGGGAAATATTCTGAGACATATACAAAGAGTGTCTCTTAAAGCAGTGAGAATGACCCAATATATATTGTTTTCAGCAGAGGGCCAAAAAATATCTGCTCAGAGTTTTGGATAGACTGAATTCCAGAAGAAGAATTTTAAATAGCTTTATCAGACTGCAGAAATGGTGTGACTCATACTTTATGTGATATGTCTATAATGACTGATATCTTTGGCATTTCTTTAAAGTAATGAAGTAGCAGTGTATGGGGTGCACGTGTGTGTGTGTGTGTGTGTGTTTGTGTGTGTGTGTACCGATATATAATTGAAGAATAAGTTTGAAGGGAATCTTTTCTTTGGCATGTGTTTTAGGGCAAGGATTGCTTCTTGTGTTATGACAGATTTTTCTTTATATGAACAGTGTTACTTGGCTTATGAGATGCACAATATGTTTGACCTTATTGCTGAAATTTCCTCTTTTTTGTTTTCATTATACACAATAATTATCGCGTGGAAGATATTCAGCTACTAAATCAAAATGTTTGATGCCCGTGACTGTATCTGGTATATGCTACTGTGAATTTGTATAATATTTGCTTAACTTTGGATGAAAGATGTGTAGATATTCTTTATCACACTGCATATTTCTAACTGTAATTACTGACTCTTCTGTTTAATGACGGGTAATTTGTGCAAGTTGGAGGCTATGTTTTCACGTGGCATTAACTTATCTACACTCCAGTTAACCTCCTGCAAAGTTAACCCAGTTCAAATGAGAGTGGCCACTTGTGCTACACAGAAATAATAATACTTGAGCTACACAGAATTGATAGTGATTGTGTTAGTAGCTGAGGAGTTGTGAAGACTCCTGTAGCCATCATTCCTTAACAGACCAGTCTACTCACGTTAAATGAACCACTGTGTTTGAGTTACTATTTGGGATGTTGGATCGCATGTAACTGAATAGTCGTTTAACTGCATCAAATCTTAGTGGTTACACAACTATTTGATAGCTCCCGGAGGCTGGGCCAGCAGCCAGTGTGCTCTTGGCCCAGAGATAGCAGCACAGGTTGGCAGGCAGAAGCTAGTTCATGAGGAGATCCTGCTGCCCTATGCTGCTGACTCTGATACAGCACAGGGTAGTAGCAGCCTCTGTTTGGAAGGAGCCTCGGATCTCCTACGGACAAGGGCTGCTGCTGTGGAGCAGCTTCTGTCCATGGCAAGTCCGGGCCCGCTGTGGTCAGATGCCACTTTGTAGCAGCCTCTTGTGCCCCCGACCATGCTGCTGCCTCTAATAGAGGCAGCAATGTGTGTGTACGGGAGGGGTAGGTGGCATGGCGGAGCTGGAGTGGTGGGGAGCTGGCTTCTCTCAGAGGCAGCAGTGCAGAGGTCGGGGAGCAGGCAAATCCAGAACTCGTGGGGAGCCAGCTCCACCCTCTCCCTCTTGCTATCTGATACAGAGGCAGTAAACAGGGTGGATGCATGTAGTCAACAAGATTAATCGATAAGCTCTTATCGGTTAATCGATTAGTCATCTACATGTTGACTTCCCTAGTCACTATGTAGGTGTGCCAATCAAAACACAATGCTTGTACCTACCAGAAATATATGTTTAAAATTATTTCTACATTGTAGGCTAACTGTGGTTTGAATTCTGATCACCTGTAAAGCTAGGAGACACCTGGATTCACTTGTCCAGCCCAGTTGCTGCTCTTCTCCAGCCCTGATTTCCCAAACTTTGGACAGATTTGTATGCTTATCTTCCAAAGAAGAGACTAAAGTTCTAAATTGGACAAAATTGCCAAAATGGTCAAATGATCCAATTTCGATACATGTTAATACTCTTGAGAAGAATGCACACAAAGCAGAAATTCAAAATGGGAAAATGCATTTAAGGGATCAGAGAAAGAGAAGAGTCTGATACTTATAATCAGGGCTCGACAAATAATGCAATCTATTCACCCGTGGCGAGTAGATTGCAACCCGGAAGAGCCGGGTTTGGGCGATCTGCGCATGAGCAGATCGCTGGACAGCGTGGCTAGCGAGTGGGGCTCACCGTGGTTCGGCGAGCCCTGCTTATAATGAGCTAGCAGACTTACCTGGCATTGTCCAAGTCCTTCAGGGCAGGGTCTTTGGGATGTAGAATTTCGGTTCAGAAGGCGAGGGAAGGGAGAGGGGCGTGTTCTCTCCCCCTCCATGCCTCCCTCATGAAGCCTGTTCTTTTTCTTCCTGCCAGGCCACCCCCCCAAGCTCACTTGGGGCCTGTTCTCTCCCCCTCCCTCCCACAAACCACTCTCCAGCCCTACTGGGGCCTTTTTTCTCCCAGCCCGTCCTGCCAGGCCACCTACTCAGCTCGCCCATGGCCTGTTTTCTTCCTCCCTCTCCCCTCGATCTCCTCAGCTGCCAGGGGCCTGTTCTCTCCTCTCCTCCTCCACTGATACTGCAGCTAAGGACTGGCGGGGAAGGATTTCAGGCAGGGAAGCTACTTACTGATGTGCTCACAGGCAAGATGGTGGAGCCTCAGCCCTGTTGGCCACTTCCTCAGCGGTACGACTGGCACCTGTGGACACTGTGCAAGATAGCTCTCCCCTGTAGGCTCACTGCCCCCAGTGGCAGTCTCATAATGAGTTCCTCTAAACAGCAGCCCCCCCCTTTGCATGGTATGGAAAACTGTCCTTTTCCTGGGGCTTCTGGTTCTCCTGGCACAACCAAACCCTGACTCCTTTAAGTTAGGAGAAGAGGAAGCTGCATACCTAATTTGGTGGTCCTAGCTCTTACCGTTTAGGAAGAGTTCTTGAACAAACAAACATTATGACTCCAATAATAATCATCTATCTACCAATAGATGGATAGATTATTATTATTGTAGTCATACTGCTTCCCAAGGTCTGATCAGAATCATAGTTCTGTCATGCAAGGTGCTGTGCCAACAGAGTTAAATATAGTTCCTACCCTATAGAACTTGCAAAATAACATACATGAGCACCAATCAAATAATTGGAGAGAGGGAGACTGTCATAGCTACATAGATTGCTATAGATATGCTTGTAATGTATATTAAAACACTAATGGTTATATAAATAGATAAATAAAAACTTTTCCCAAGTGCCCCATAGCTAACTCTTTCAACTGCTCCAAGCCTGGCTATTGAAATATTGGCTGGATTTTTTTATAGCAGTATGGGAAGAGTGAATTTTGTGGGCAATATTAATAGTTAATATTTGAGTTTGAGAAAGTATGCTGGTCTTTGATA